TTTGACAAGAAAAGCTGAAGAAAAGAACTAATATGTCATCCCAAACTCAATGAGCTGATATATTAAAGTTACAAATAACAGAAAACATGGATGATAATCATTCACTCTAACACCTCGGATATGTTATGAGACGAAACGAGCACACAACACAACTCCCATCCGTCAACAAAAAACATTACCCGATTTAAATCCACAGATGCGATCCTTAGGCGTCGTAAGTCGTGGATCCTCCGGCGTCGAACTGTACTGCGAACAGGAACCTAGTAGTAATGATGCGAAACTCAAGCATCCACTGCCAAACTCCGTTGAAGAATGTCAATTACGGCAGTCAATTAAAAAAACGAGTAATTCTATAGAGTCAAATAACACTGCTAATGTCACCAGCACTTTATACAGCTGTAAATCAATTAAGGCCTACTGTTAGTTCACGTATGTCCGATAAGTTCGTAAAGCTGCTAGAAACACCCGTTAGCACTGCATACACGTAAACAAAATAGTTTATAACTCCTTTCAGGATCCGTTAATTTATAACGTGTATGTGCGAACAGTTAAATGTATTCGTTCAAGCGATTATCAGTCAGTAGCACAAACACTGGATAAATCAACACTGTTTTATAAATCCATCAAAGGACCGGCTTGGCCATCCACTGTTGTACACTTAATTTGTACATTCTTTTGTATACTTTATATTCAACCAAGTATTTAGGCCTAGGGTGCCTATTCTAGTATTCCGCTGGATATCTCCTTGATGGATGTGCTACAGTGAAGTCCTGCATTCTATAACTGGCACACTTGGCACCGACACAGCATCATGTAATACAGTCGCTACCTTTACAAGCCAACAATAACGCTTGTGACAGGCCACATAAACTTTAATGGCATTAAAGTTACACGTCACAAGATGATGATGATTATTCAATAAAACATGTACGATAATAAATCTCCATTATCTATTCTGATGATATAAAAGATTACAGCAGCTTTTCTCAATGGGCTCCTGCCATTAAAATAAGTAAATAGACATTGAACTGTCTCCCGCAAACAACGGTAAATCAAAACCTCACAAAGAGAAAAACGTTTCTATAATATCCTCATACAGAGAGCCAACACAGTTTCCGCTAACCCCGCGGAAACACGTCCGACTTGGACAATGGAAATATCTCAACTGCCGAATCCTTTGTGTTCTGCAGGAGCCTTTGTGTTAATCGCCCAGCATTCAATTAGCTGGTATCCCAGGTAACAGACCCGACCGGTGGCCGCTGTGTGAACCTTTCACCTGCGCTATGACCACTAGAAGAAACTAGAAGAAACTTTAACTCTTGGACTATAAGATTACAACAACACCCCCCCCCCCCACCCCTTGCCCAAACAGCAAAATTTGTACAAATAATGACAGTAAAAGTTGATTAATTAGGGGTGTTTTCTTTAAAGTCTGAACGTGACGTGGTCAACTATACGCCGGCCGCCTTAACTTTCAGTAACACTACCAGTGATCCTGGCGGCCTAGGAGCCGTTTTGAAACAAATCTGACTCATAGAGATTTAAACCGAAGATCTTTTGACCCGTCATGCGAGCGTCTAGCCGCTAAGCTGCCAGAACAATGCTGCCACGCATTCCGTCCTCATCCCAAACCCCGCACGTCAACTCCTACCGTCGTGCATTTGAAGCTTCAGTTATATCCGATCATTACGTCATATTATATCGTTTTCATGATCAGTTAACGCGTAGGCTTTCAGTTTTGTTTTCCCAGAATCTAGACACAAAACTGAAACCGGGCAAGGTAATAATAGACTGGCTACGATCTGAGCCGTCGCCCCAGCCTGGCGATAGCAAATCACCATTGTTGAGTGTTGTAGTGGTAGGGAGGGTCTCACTGATTTGTTTACGATGAACTGTTGGTGACGAGTGTCGGCCAAGGCTACCCACAGACTGTCTGTTTAGGCAAATTAGCCTAGCCAAATGTGGATACTAAGATCAGGCCATGTTTGTTAGAATAACGACGAACACGGCTGGTGGCGGTTGCGTTGTATTTCATCACCAACGAGGCGTTTTATTATCCTGCCCCCCCCCCCCCCCCAACCTCACGGACCCCAATCTGTATGAGCTATGTTAGAGGCAGGAGCAACACAAGTTACGTCATCGCTTCCTGCGCAAACAAATCTATTTTCTGAACATGTAACGAACTCGGGCCCAGCTACACACTTATGAGTGACGCAGTCGGACAAGGACCCTGTGGTAAAACGTTCATTCATGCGTGTTAACCCGTGCAACGCGCAATTTTAAGTGGCAGGGCTGTCGGCTTGGTGCGACATTGTGTTGTGTCGACGGTCTTACCGGCGACCACGCGTGCTCTATATTACAGGAGGTGAGCCCTTTTAACGACTCTAAAACATGTACAAGTGGCCCAAACCCCACGCACTGAACCTAGGTCCCACGACAGAGTGCATTCTACACCCATCTATCATAGACCAGTCTTAACACGCACGAATGAACGTCTAATCACAGTGTCCTGGCCCCGACTTCGTCACTCTAAGTACGGAGCTGGGCCTAAGTTCGTTATTTGTTTCGGTTTTTTTTAACGAAGTCCGGTCCAAATAGAACGTAACTAGGCTTTCATTCATGCTTTCTCACCCATGACACGGGCTAGTCTGTGTTAGAGGGGTGTCACATCTTGTCTTCGACGCTTTCAGCGCCGATGTCGCGTGTTCTAAACTACACGAAAACACTCCTTTTAACGTCCCCAGAACATCTGGAACTGGCCCCAACCCAAACCCTCCTACCCCACAGCCTCAGCCTAGGTCCAGCAAGAGAGCCCAGATTACGTCCCATGGTTTCAGACTTGTTAAAATTTTCAACTGCGCCCTAAAAACCCGTCCTGCTCCTCCTTGTCGATCGTTAACGCTGACCTAAATTCATGTCGTACCTGAACTCCGTAGTATGTGCAATATCGCCGCCCGCTCACAACCACGAGTAAAACACACTTCGTAGCTCCCCGCTGATATACGCACAATATACAAATCTCTTCCGGTACACCAGACAACGTGACACCCCTCTAACATAGGCTAACCCGTGTCACACGCGAGAAAGCATGAATGAAAGCCCAATTACGCTCTATTTAGGCCGGACTTCGTTAAAAAGTTTCCATATACCTTCTTGAAGTTAAAGAGCTGGTGGATCAGTAGGTCATCTCAGTTAGCTGACAGTTTACGTGTGCACAAAAGAGAGAAAGGCTGGCTGAGATCCGGGGGGAAAAAGGGGGGGGGGGGGGTGAAGAGGAACATTTAATTTGCGCAAATGTTTAACGGGCTCTAAAACGTAGAAGTATGGTAAATGACAACATGAGGAATTGTAATTGTCCGTTTAGTGTTCTTCAGTCCTGAAACACCGATGTTTGCAGTGTAGTTGCCACACTTATTCTCTCGCGCTAAAAAAAAAGGGGACAGATAAATTTGACATTTCTTCTATGTTCGCCATTTAAAAAAAAGGGGGGGGGGGGGGTAACGCTGTGTTGTGGGTTTACAACAGGGCTGCAATATTTCAGCATATAGAGAGAAGAAATGGGCATTTTGGCTGAATCATCAGCCTGTTCTCTGTGACAAAGAGGGTGCCAGCGTTTACTGCGACCTGACACTTAATGTTGAAGGAATCGGCATTTAATCCTACTTTGTGGCCGCTGGTGTTTTCTGAGTGAACATATAATGTGATATATCCTCTGGGGTGAAGGGAGATGGACAGTATTTTTCTAGTTGTGCGCTGGGGGAACAGAGTGTCCCTTTATAAAGCGACTGTTCAGGGTTTGCAGAAATGTTGGACTGAAAAGCGCAGATATCGCAGCCTAGATGTAAACCACAACAAGCTAACCTCCCCCCTCCCCTCTCTTGTATTTGTAGGGCGAACACGGAAGAGTAATAATCCTGTAATAAAATAAATATAGCCCACGGAATAAAACAGCCACAACTCCTTAAGTTGCCTGAAGCCCGGTAATCAGGTAGCCGTGAATAAGTGGAGAATATTTGTTTGCCTTACTGTCCAGAGCTTTGTCATACAGAGAGGAGGAGCTTCTCATTAACGCGAGTGGGTCTTGCTAGTCACACTCGCCATTGCTATGGGCGGTGGTTCCTCTTATGCCCGCCCCCCCCCCCCCCATATAACACCGTCATCTGCATAGATATAAAATGCCATGAGCCTATTCTTCTGTGATGTGTGGGAGTCCCGGTGAGTACTTAACCTTTTTTTGACCCTGGGAGGCCATGAAATCGTCATGCACAAATTGGTACCATGTCCACGTAAAAGCCCCTTTCCGGACTCTCTAAAGAAAAGACATGTTTGACTACAAGACGACTAGCTAACAGAATTCATTGCCCAAACGTTCAGCCAGACAGGGGATGTCTAACTTTACTAAAATAGCAGGGGGGTTGTAAGAAAATGGATTTATTGCTTTATTTATAGACATTTTTAAGTCATTGTATGCAATGGTTACCTGGTCACAGGGTCAAGTAAGTGTCACACTCTATAGTTTACGGTCCTTAAAGGTAAACTTTACCTACTTGTAGGCTACATCAAGAGATCTGTAAACATTACCTACTTGCAGGCTACATCAAGAGATCTGTAAACTTTACCTACTTGCAGGCTACATCAAGAGATCTGTAAACTTTACCTACTTGCAGGCTACATCAAGAGATCTGTAAACTTTACCTATTTGCAGGCTACATCAAGAGAACTGTAAGCTTTACCTACTTGCAGACTACCTCAAGAGATAGTAATCTGTAAACTTTACATACTTGCATACTGCTGAAGAAATATAAACTTTTCTGTAAACTTTACCTACTTGCAGGCTATATCAAGAGAACTGTAAACTTTACCTATTTGCAGGCTCCATCAATAGATAGTAAACTTTACTTTTTTGCAGGCTTCCTTAAGAGATAGTAATCTGTAAACTTTATATACTTGCATACTGCTAAAGAAATATAAACTTTTCTGTTAACTTTACCTACTTGCAGGCTACATCAAGAGATCATAGACTTTTATGAGTACATGTCCCCACAAGCTCAGGAGGCGAACATGCGACATGATGTCGTGGAGCGTCTGAGATCTGTTATAGAAGACCTCTGGCCTGATGCTAAGGTAAGAGCTTGTTTCAGTGATCTTCCTGTTCTTCTATACAGTCATTGTCACATACCGCTCCTGTCACGTGCCTGATTTAAGGATTTCTCCTTAAGAACCAACAGCACTCTGAAATAATTATGTTGAGTCGTTGGCTCGTATTGGTCTAAGGGATATCCCGTGGCCAATATATGCTCAACTTATTTCAGGAGTAGGGCAACTCAAGCTTTGGCACTACAAAATATATAATATTCCTAGGCACACTTTGCTGGACACCCCCACTACTATAAAAAGGTAGCCCCCAGGTATGATAGTATACTATCATAGCCATGTTAACACAGATTACACTTATTACTCACACAAACATAAAAGCTGGACAGTTAGAATGGTGAAACGGGGACACCCAAGTCAGCCATGAAAATTTCTGCATGTAATACGTACAATATATATATACATATATTAATGAATAGATAAACAAGAATGTTCAGTGAATGGAGCTCAGGAATCAATGACACAACCCAGATACTGAAGCAGCCAGACATAATCTTGAGCTTTACATGAGTTCATCATCGAAATCACAAGGTGCTGTGGGAAGAGAGCATGTAAATGAATAAGAGATCACTTATCCCAGTTCATAGGTCAATGCTCCCCTCAGTCCATGGTGAATCGACTGTAGTTGACTCAATAGGTAGGTATGCCTCGATCTGATCTGGGACAAGCTGACTGTCTCACAAGCGAGGACACAGGAACTGCATAGAAACCCAACAAGACTCTTGGAGATTGTGGTGCCCTCTGACTGTCTCACAGGTGAGGACACAAGAACTGCATCAGAGCCCAACAAAGCTCTTGAAGACTGGTTCTCTTGATTGATGACATAGGTGTCTGCAATTGTCCACTAGTCCTGGAACTCACAAACAAGCTCTTGCCATGTTGAGGTAGTGGCACAATAGGCAGGACTTTTGGGTATACTTGGTGCCCAGAATGGTATGGGTTGGTGGTTGTTGGCTGGACTGTGGTTCGTTTGCCTGATCTCTGAGGAGGTATCATCCGGTCAGGAAAGAACTCAGAATTAGTAATCAACCTTATTCACACACCAGCTCAGCCCACACTTTGCTACCCTTCTCCATTCCTCAGAGTGTAACTCTCAAGAACAGGAGACAATGTCTCCTTTCATTTATCTGTCTGTAAATTAGTGCAACAGATAGAAGACAAGGCATATAGTGGAGATAGATAGACACTACCACACATAGATCATCCTCTCTCCACCCTCACATCTGCACTCGCAGACATACAATGTATACAGTTAGTACCTATATAAATTTCACGTCTCCACAGGCTGTCCACTACACACCCACTGAATCTGTGTCAAACACACTTTTGACTCAGAGCGTCTGGCTCTGACGTCACAGCAGTTAACTTAAAAGATGACCCAGTTTCCATATTTCTGCTAGAAAGCACAAAACTTTGTCTGGTCAGAGAATAATTACTTGTAGGGTTTAATATCTTTATAAATGGTGTGGGTTAAGTAGAGCACAAACTATTTAATCTGCACAGGAAAAGGTTTAATGTTCGGAGCCTGGTCTCTGGACATCAAGAACGGCCCAACTCTGTGCGATCACAAAGCTGAATCTTCCCTCTCTGCAGCAGTGGCTAACTTTAAAAAGACATATATTATGGTACTCGTAAACTATAATCAACTTACCCAAGCTTAGGAATTCTTCCAATATAGACTTGGTACTTTGAATGCCCCAATTTCTACATAGACTGTATACACGTCTTGACACTTAGGAATCAGGCGAAAGAATGCCGCTCAAACCTAAACTTGGCGTCACTAGGAAAGAAGTCCCCTGTATACATGCCTAAGGAGTAAACCAGCTTACAGGAATTTCTGAATTAAACACCAGAAATCTTCAACCTACAGTTGCAAGTTTGAAAATGAAGATTTATCAAAGCAACTAAAGGGTCTAGAAATGAATATTTTATCAGATAGAGGTATATATCAATATAAGAGACTATATACCCCTCCGGACGGGTTTAAGTTTGAAATGTGACTGTCCGCTCAGGGAAATCAGCGTCACGACTCGTCCATCCTTTGGGTTGGCTGCTCACTTCACGACAGTCATGACTTCTTGTTCCTGCACATGTGGTAGTGAGAACTTGTGTTAGTGATCTTCTTGTTCTTCTATACAGTCATGACTTCTTGTTCCTGCACATGTGGTAGTGAGAACTTGTGTTAGTGATCTTCCTGTTCTTCTATACAGTCATGACTTCTTGTCCCTGCACATGTGGTAGTGAGAACTTGTGTTAGTGATCTTCCTGTTCTTCTATACAGTCATGACTTCTTGTCCCTGCACATGTGGTAGTGAGAACTTGTGTTAGTGATCTTCCTGTTTTTCTATACAGTCATGACTTCTTGTTCCTGCACATGTGGTAGTGAGAACTTGTGTTAGTGATCTTCCTGTTCTTCTATACAGTCATGACTTCTTGTTCCTATACACGTGGTAGTGAGAACTTGTGTTAGTGATCTTCCTGTTCTTCTATACAGTCATGACTTCTTGTTCCTGCACATGTGGTAGTGAGAACTTGTGTTAGTGATCTTCCTGTTCTTCTATACAGTCATGACTTCTTGTCCCTGCACATGTGGTAGTGAGAACTTGTGTTAGTGATCTTCCTGTTCTTCTATACAGTCATGACTTCTTGTTCCTGCACATGTGGTAGTGAGAACTTGTGTTAGTGATCTTCCTGTTCTTCTATACAGTCATGACTTCTTGTTCCTATACACGTGGTAGTGAGAACTTGTGTTAGTGATCTTCCTGTTCTTCTATACAGTCATGACTTCTTGTTCCTGCACAAGTGGTAGTGAGAACTTGTGTTAGTGATCTTCCTGTTCTTCTATACAGTCATGACTTCTTGTTCCTGCACATGTGGTAGTGAGAACTTGTGTTAGTGATCTTCCTGTTCTTCTATACAGTCATGACTTCTTGTTCCTATACGTGTGGTAGTGAGAACTTGTGTTAGTGATCTTCCTGTTCTTCTATACAGTCATGACTTCTTGTCCCTGTCCATATGGGGGGGGTTGAGGGGAGTGTATTCTGGAACCCCCATACATGAACATTTCATGAAGGGAACAGAATATTGGATTAATCAGCACGGGGCAGACATGGTCAGTTTGATGCTTGTCCAGCTGTTAAAGAGTTCGGAGCTCCAGTGAATCTGACAGGAGGGATGTGATGATAGTCTCGGTTAATCACAAATCTTTCTTCTTTTCTTTGCTCCAGGATGTTGTTCTGCTACTTTTTAATCCCCCATTCAAGCAGGGCTTTTCAGCTGGTGCAAGCGGAGGCCTAGCACCTGGCCCGCGGGTCTTTGCCAATTGTATTAATGATCTTTCTATGCCAGGGCTCCATACTTTGGCCCCTGAATAAACTTAGTTGATTAGCCCTGCATTAGAGTAACGGCAGGTTTGGGTTTGATTCCACATCATCAGATTTTTGTCAGAAGTGACCTTGGCCCCCAGGTCAACCCAGCCTAACATGGGTACTTGGTAATGTCCTGGGAAGTAAAGGGGATCCGTATGATGTTAACCAAATCATCACCCACTAAGTGCTGATTGGTCAATGAGAATATGAGTCTAGCAGATTATGCCCAAAGCGCCGCTGTCGTAAAAAAGAGGTTTTACTTAAGAGTATAGAATAATAAAGATGTTTTACTTGAGAGTATAGAATAAAAAAGATGTTTTACTTGAGAGTATAGAATAAAAAAGAGGTTTTACTTAAGAGTATAGAATAAAAAAGAGGTTTTACTTAAGAGTATAGAATAAAAAAAGATGTTTTACTTAAGAGTATAGAATAAAAAAGATGTTTTACTTAAGAGTGTAGAATAAAAAAGAGGTTTTACTTAAGAGTATAGAATAAAAAAGATGTTTTACTTAAGAGTATAGAATAAAAAAGAGGTGAGAAAAAAAAACAAAAAAATAAGACAGATAAAAAAAATAAATTTAAAAAAAATAAAAAAAGAAAAAATTTTAATTTTACTTAAAAGTATAGGTAAAATTCAATTAACTTATAGCAAAGCTGTCCTAGAATAAAAAAGAGGTTTCTTAAAAGTGCAGCTCTCTTTAGCAAAGCTGATCTTCCATTCCTTCACATAGTGTATTGTAATACTCTGATTCTCATCTTCATGTTTTGTGAGTGACTCTTTTCCCCTGTGAGCTCCATTCCGCCACACAGGGTTATACTCTTGATTCTCATATTCATGTTTTGTGAGTGACTCTTTTCCCCTGTGAGCTCCATTCCGCCACACAGGGTTATACTCTTGATTCTCATATTCATGTTTTGTGTGGGACTCTTTTCCCCTGTGAGCTCCATTCCGCCACACAGGGTTATACTCTTGATTCTCATCTTCATGTTTTGTGTGGGACTCTTTTCCCCTGTGAGCTCCATTCCGCCACACAGGGTTATACTCTTGATTCTCATCTTCATGTTTTGTGAGTGACTCTTTTCCCCTGTGAGCTCCATTCCGTCACACAGGGTTATACTCTTGATTCTCATCTTCATGTTTTGCGAGTGACTCTTTTCCCCTGTGAGTTCCATTCCGTCACACAGTGTTATAATCATCTTCATGTTTTGTGAGTGACTCTTTTCCCCTGTGAGCTCCATTCCGTCACACAGGGTTATACTCTTGATTCTCATCTTCATGTTTTGTGAGTGACTCTTTTCCCCTGTGAGCTCCATTCCGCCACACAGTGTTATACTCTTGAATCTCATCTTCATGTTTTGTGTGGGACTCTTCTCCCCTGTGAGCTCCATTCTGTCACACAGTGTTATACTCTTGATTCTCATCTTCATGTTTTGTGAGTGACTCATTTCCCCTGTGAGCTCCATTCCGCCACACAGGGTTATACTCTTGATTCTCATCTTCATGTTTTGTGAGTGACTCTTTTCCCCTGTGAGCTCCATTCCGTCACACAGTGTTATACTCTTGATTCTTATCTTCATATTTATTGCGACCTTTTTTTAAAAAAGCTTTTTCATGTTAAAAGAGTTAAGAACAACCTTAGAGTAATGAAGACACTGCAACACATTAGAAAGAGAACACTTCGCTAAACAAAAAAGAAGATAATATTGTATCTTGTGCAGAGAAAAGGCAATTCCTTCTATTCTTCTTATGGTCCATCCCATATGGCATTGGGTATCATGTCTGCCCATAGCATTCTGTCACATGTATTCATGTATGTTCAGTCATTTCCCACCCATTTGGTCTCCTACGCCATCATGTCAGATTGTCCAGCATTTTTCTCTCTTCATCTCCCTCTACCACTTTTTTCCTTCTAACGTTCCCACAGTCACAATGTATTTTCTCCTTCTCGTGATGTGACCAAAGAATGTAGATTTTCTCATTCTTATGATGTGACCAAAGAATGTAGATTTTCTCCATCTCATGATGTGACCAAAGAATGTAGATTTTCTCCATCTCATGGTGTGACCATAGAATGTAGATTTTCTCCTTCTCATGGTGTGACCAAAGAATGTAGATTTTCTCCTTCTCATGGTGTGACCAAAGAATGAAGATTTTCTCCTTCTCATGATGTGACCAAAGAATGTAGATTTTCTCCATCTCATGATGTGACCAAAGAATGTAGATTTTCTTCTTCTTATGATGTGACCAAAGAATGTAGATTTTCTTCTTCTTATGATGTGACCAAAGAATGTAGATTTTCTTCTTCTTATGATGTGACCAAGGAATGAAGATTTTCTTCTTCTTATGATGTGACCAAAGAATGTAGATTTTCTTCTTCTTATGTTGTGACCAAAGAATGTAGATTTTCTCCATCTCCTGATGTGACCAAAGAATGAAGATTTTCTCCATCTCATGATGTGACCAAAGAATGTAGATTTTCTCCATCTCATGATGTGACCAAAGAATGTAGATTTTCTCCATCTCATGATGTGACCAAAGAATGTAGATTTTCTCCATCTCATGATGTGACCAAAGAATGTAGATTTTCTCCATCTCATGATGTGACCAAAGAATGTAGATTTTCTCCATCTCATGATGTGACCAAAGAATGTAGATTTTCTCCATCTCATGATGTGACCAAAGAATGTAGATTTTCTCCATCTCATGATGTGACCAAAGAATGTAGATTTTCTCCATCTCATGATGTGACCAAAGAATGTAGATTTTCTCCTTCTGATTGGGAAATCAATTCTCATCGTGGGCTAATTTCTTCCAAAACTTGCTCATTACGTTTATCTGTCCTCATCATCCACCTATAAAACCATATCTCTTGTCGTTTTCAGATAATTTTTCACAAATCGGCTAACTGTCCCTGAATTACTTCCATATATCAGGATCGGATGCTTTTATTTTTACCATGCACTTATGGAGAGGCATGATCTCCCACGCCAGTCGGCAAGGCACCTGATGATGACGACTTATGTGTGAAGACCTGGAGAAGGCTCTCAGCTATCATTCTACACTTCAAACCTAGGCAATGGTTCTCTATTTTTACCGTACACCTTGTCTACCTGGTCGGCTCTGGGGCTAAGTCGATGCAAATGCTCTGTAATGCTGGGTTCGATCCCAGCTGCGGGCCATGCGTCTTGCATTTGTTTTGACAGTGGTATTGAGAAAGCCGATCATCCAGATAGCAATGGCAAACTACTGGACGTAAATTTGCCTAGAGAAACCAAACAACGGCCAGGGGCTGTTGGGGTTAGTTCTGCAACGTCCTGTAAAGGATACGCAACTAACCTAACCTTGTCGACCTGACACTGGATAACACATTCTTTACTTTTTCATTACATTTACCACACACGTTTTTATGTCATAGTAAAGGTATGAAAAGGTGTCTCTTATTTTACAAATGATATTTGTTGTTCAACAGGTGGAGGTGTTTGGCAGCTTTAGAACTGGTCTCTATTTACCCACAAGGTAGGGACACCCTTGATACCGTTGACTTATATGTTGTTTGTGTTGTTCCTCTGTGTCCTTTCTGTGTGTTGTGTTGTTCCTCTGTGTCCTTTCTGTGTGTTGTGTTGTTCCTCTGTGTCCTTTCTGTGTGTTGTGTTGTTCCTCTGTGTCCTTTCTGTGTGTTGTGTTGTTCCTCTGTGTCCTTTCTGTGTGTTGTGTTGTTCCTCTCTGTCCTTTCTGTGTGTTGTGTTGTTCCTCTGTGTCCTTTCTGTGTGTTGTGTGTTCCTCTGTGTCCTTTCTGTGTGTTGTGTTGTTCCTCTCTGTGTTCTTCTTACTCTGCTCTACATTTTTAATAAAATAGAATTCCAAGAGGTTGAAAAAGTAAGGTGTCCGCATTTAAAAACAATTTTTTGCTGACATGGGAATCTGGAAAAATTGTGAAAACACCCCCTGCAGTGACCGAAATTGTGTTCACATTAACCGAATGCTCTTCTAGGTGAGGTTTTACTGTATAGTTCAGATTGTTGAGCTAGACAGGTGATTTGGTCATATAAAAAGTCTACCCCAAACAAGATACCCTGGAATCGCATAGATATCTACATAGAGTGGATACAGCTGGTCTGAAGAATGAGGAATTTGGGCACTGTGTTGATGGAAGAGGTGTTGAAGAAGTTTGTAGAGGCAAAGCAGCATTTCACATCATGAAGAATATTACATCTTTGTCAATTAAGGGGGTTTTAACTCCTCACAGGCCCAAGGGGATAGTAAAAAGAGGCATAAAATCGGTGCATTATGCGTTCATTGGGCTTCTACGTACGAACCTATCTCTAGCATTGTTAAACAATCTTTTTTTTTTCAGACTGCTGTGCAACCAGCTCTTGATGTTATCCTTTCAATTGTATCACTGTCTCCTTCTTGCTTGTTATGTTGGCCTTGGAACTTCTATCGTCTGTATATTCTTTTATAAAATTGTTATGCCTTTTAATGTGGCTGAAATATTTTGTCTCTGTGGATTTTGTTGTTATTGCATTGCAGCACATCTTTTCATTCCCTTTCTCTGTTGATGATAGTAGGGCTAAGTGTATATAAAATGATTTGACAGTTCTCATTAATAATGTGTTGTTGTTTCAATAAATCAGTTTGCAGGTTAACAAAATAAATCAGTTTCCAGGTATTACAAAATACAAATCCCTTTAACAACAGTTGGAAGAGGCAAAATGCACGGTGTGTGGACATGGAATAAGATCTTCCAGTATCATACCACAAGGCTTGGTACAATGGAAGAGGCGAGGAGGCAGGCCACGAAAAACTAGATAAAGGATTTGACCAAATGGAGGAGTCTCAGATACAAAAACATCAAGTCCGGCGCATCTGGTCACCAGAAATGGAGATGACTTGATCATACATTCAACAGAACTTGGTGACTGGACGCCTCACCATTTTATGAGACAGTAGGTTAATAGATAGGTAGACAGAAAGAATGGGTTGTATTATTTGGGTTCTAGTTATTATTATCATTATTGGATAAACAAAAAGAGTAAACCAGCTGTTCCTTCAGCAAACAGGTCGTAAAATATTACTAATTGAGAATTCACTGAAATCAGAAGTGTTGTGTCGAAAGGAGATGCCACTGCTTAGCTGTAAACCACATTGCAGTGTGTGCCAGCTGCCATTTTAAGGGCAAATGAAGAAGAAAAAACATTTTGCCTTTTTTTTCTTCTTTCTTTTTCTAAATCTTGACCCACATTAATCTTGTCTCCAATTGCTTTCAGTGACATTGACCTTGTGGTGTTTGGAAAATGGGACTCTCAACCTTTGTTTACGTTGCAAGAAGCACTGCTGAAACGAAATCTGGCAGACGCCTCTTCCATTAAAGTTTTGGACAAGGCATCGGTAAGTTTACAGACTTGTGTTGCTCTCTGTGGTTTGAACTCACGCCAACCAGAGTCCCAAAGTTGACCCAGCTGGAAATGTGTGCCAGGGAATGTCCTGTAAAGTCAAGTCAGTTAGCCCAATATTGACATCATACCTCTAGAGGACCAATCGGTCTATACACAAAATATGGTCTCAGTGCCAGATCTGTTTTGTGGAGGGAAAGATTTCTGTATTTATTACGGAATGTTTTATAAAAGGTATCGATACGCAGCACAGTGTGTCTTTTACGCTAGTGCTGAAATTAAAGATAGCTAAAAAAAAAAAAAAAAAAAAGGGTACCAGCACTACATACTATTGGAGCAGTTAGCATCCTTTGGATATTTTTCGCTAAGTTATACCGGTTTGTTGGAAAATGAGCATCAGATAGATTGACCGGTTTTGCACCGCTTGGTGGTGAACTGATGTATGAACCAATGCTCTTTGGGAGTGATTGAACAGTGAGGAGGCACAGACAGATCATTACGGTCTGGGGAGAAAGGTGCTGCAGGGAGTTACCAGGGGATCTGGCCAGCACTCACCACACAGGAAAAAGGTGAGGCGGATATACAATCAGACAGTTACTGGTGCCCTCGGAATTGGAACTCTTCGCTTGCTGCTGAAGATGGGGACAGAGGGCCTATGGGGGGGGGGGTGTCCCGAGTGTTGTGATGTTGATTTGTAAAATTAAAACATACTATTGGATTAGTCGTCATGTCCTTTGTAGAACATAGCTATCTTCATGGCCAATGCTCCAGCCCTGTGTGCCTTGTTCTAGAACTGTTGCCTGCACATCTGTTTCACATTTATGACCTATTTGTATGCAAGACTATTGGGTCCTCGTCACACAGGCAGGTACACCTAGACTTCGAAGGAAACTTCCTTAATTATTCGCCTTTTACAAAATGCTTTGGAGGGGGGGGGGGGGTGTTGATAGTGATTTAGTTGTAGTTAATAGTGTTTTGTTTTTAAAATATTTTAATTTTTGAAGTTTTAAAAATAAGTTTTAATATCAGATTGTTGTTGATACTCTTGAGTCTTTAAAATGGTTCGTTGTTGCTTATAGTTTTAATTTAGCAAGTTTGCGGTTGTATGCAATTTTAATTTAGCAAGTTTGTGTTTTTCTGTTGTAGGTGCCTATCGTCAAACTGACAGACCTGAAGACGGAAGTGAAAGTTGACGTCAGCTTTAACATGGACAACAATCAGAATTATGGTGTGGAGAGTGCTCAGCTTATTCAGGTATGTCCTTAAACTATTGATTTGCCTATATTTAAATAATAATTAGTTATTGATGGAGATATACAGTTTTGCAGTGACAAGCACTCTTGCCTACTGGCTGTTGCTGCTCTTTCTCCTCCTCTACTTCTTCTTTCTCCTCCCCCTTCTCTTTTTCTTCTTCATCATCATCTTCTTCTTTCTCCTCCCCCATCTGATTTTTTTCTTCTTCATCCTCTTCTACTCTTTTCTACACCCTCATTTCCTCTTTTTCTTCTTCATCCTCTTCTTCTCCTTTCTCCTCCTCCATCCTCTTTTTCTTCAATTTCTTTTTCCTCCTCTATCTGCTCTTTTTCTTCTTCATCTTCTTCTTTCTCTCCTCTATCTCCTCTTTTTCTTCTTTATCTGCTTCTTTCTCCTCCCCCATCTCCTCTTCTTCCTATCTTCATCTGCTTTGTAGGTTGTGGGTTTGTTTTATGGACTGCGTTGTTCAGTTCAATGCTACTGTTTTTAGAGATCATAGCTGGAGCTATGGAGTATGTACTTTATGCAGTGCTTTTTATCAGACAGCTAGCCATTCTGCTGAGAGAAGTCGAGCCATATAGAATAAAACTGGTACACACATTAAAAAAACCTGCCCTCTAAAATTGAAACTACATTTTTCTCAACTTCTACTCCTTTCCCAGTCTCTTGTTCTTCTGATAATTATTGATTTTGGACTGTTTTTTATTTCCTCCAGAAATACTTGGAAAAGTACGACTGCCTAAAGTACCTTGTATTAGTACTCAAACAGTTCCTGCTGCAGAGAGATTTGAATGAAGTCTTCACTGGCGGCATCTCCTCTTACAGCCTGACCCTGCTGGCCATCAGTTTCCTGCAGGTAGAGTAGCTGAGGCACCTGTTTGGTCAACTGTTACTTGTACAGTAAAAGTGTCACTTTTGGAAAGCTGGCTAGGAACAAGAAATTGTTATATTGTTGTGCATTTAAAAAAAAAAAAGTCTTCTAGAGATTCTTTATCTTCTTTCAAACTCAAATCGACCAGATTTGAATCGTGCTTTACCTTATGTGGATTCGGGGGCCCCATTGTGAGAGAGAGAGGGGGGGGGGAGAGAGACTCACTGCCCCCAACAAGCATATTGTAAAAGGCAATTAAATTGTGGTGGATCCCTTGAAGTCAGAGTGCATTTTGCCTAAGAGGCAAGGAACTAACAGTCTGCCTACAAGTAAGCCAAATCTGTAAAACGGATATACACACAATTCAATTTCTGAAACGAGACCAAAGTCCAAAAGTGGGTGATTAACTTCAGCTTTCCACGGCAGTTTATGGCCGGTCAAGGCCAAGAAGAACAATAATCATGCTCTTAATTTGTATAAACATCCTTTCCTAGTTAGAATACTGAATTATAAAATAACTGCTTCTGCATCTGTGGTTCCACCTCATAAGGGCAGTGAGCTTGTTGTGGTTACATCTAGGCAGTGATATCTGCCTTTCGGCCCTACACATCTCATTTCGGCATTTTCTGCCATAGTTTACATGTAGCACAGCTGTCTTCTATGTGTACGTTGGTGTCGTACCCAGGTTCGTCTTTAGTTTGCTACAGAAGGAGTCAGTAGTTGAAGAATATAGACGAGGAGAAAGATGGTATTGTCAGTAGTGTTGATGATGATGGTTTCTCAAGCTTGCTACCTGCTTCTCACAACACTGATGCTTGTATAATAAAATGTCTGGAAACAACTCCTCTTCTCAAAACTGTCTTGATTGTGATACCTCAGTCGTGTCACAAATAACATCAGTGAAATTCTGAATCTGGTTACATACTTTTGAGGTTGCGTTATATTCGTTATCTCTAGTTACTTTATTGTGATACCTCAGTCGTGTCACAAATAACATCAGTGAAATTCTGAATCTGGTTACATACTTTTGAGGTTGCGTTATATTCGTTATCTCTAGTTACTTTATTGTGATACCTCAGTCATGTCACAAATAACATCTGAAATTCTGAATCTGTTTACACACTTTGAGGTTGCGTTATATTCGTATCTCTAGTTACTTTATTGTGATACCTCAGTCGTGTCACAAATAACATCAGTGATATTCTGAATCTGGTTACACACTTTTGAGGTTGCGTTATATTCGTCATCTCTAGTACTTTATTGTGATACCTCAGTCATGTCACAAAATAACATCAGTGATATCTGAATCTGGTTACATACTTTTGAGGTTGCGTTATATTCTTCATCTCTAGTTACTTTATTGTGATACCTCAGTCATGTCACAAATAACATCAGTGATATTCTGAATCTGGTTACATACTTTTGAGGTTGCGTTATATTCGTTATCTCTAGTTACTTTATTGTGATACCTCAGTCGTGTCACAAATAACATCAGTGAAATTCTGAATCTGGTTACATACTTTTGAGGTTGCGTTATATTCGTTATCTCTAGTTACTTTATTGTGATACCTCAGTCATGTCACAAATAACATCAGTGAAATTCTGAATCTGGTTACACACTTTTGAGGTTGCGTTATATTCGTTATCTCTAGTTACTTTATTGTGATACCTCAGTCGTGTCACAAATAACATCAGTGATATTCTGAATCTGGTTACACACTTTTGAGGTTGCGTTATATTCGTTATCTCTAGTTACTTTATTGTGATACCTCAGTCATGTCACAAATAACATCAGTGATATTCTGAATCTGGTTACATACTTTTGACGTTGCGTTATATTCTTCATCTCTAGTTACTTTATTGTGATACCTCAGTCATGTCACAAATAACATCAGTGATATTCTGAATCTGGTTACATACTTTTGAGGTTGCGTTATATTCGTTATCTCTAGTTACTTTATTGTGATACCTCAGTCGTGTCACAAATAACATCAGTGATATTCTGAATCTGGTTACATACTTTTGAGGTTGCGTTATATTCGTTATCTCTAGTTACTTTATTGTGATACCTCAGTCATGTCACAAATAACATCAGTGAAATTCTGAATCTGGTTACATACTTTTGAGGTTGCGTTATATTCGTTATCTCTAGTTACTTTATTGTGATACCTCAGTCATGTCACAAATAACATCAGTGATATTCTGAATCTGGTTACATACTTTTGGGGTTGCGTTATATTCGTTATCTCTAGTTACTTTATTGTGATACCTCAGTCGTGTCACAAATAACATCAGTGATATTCTGAATCTGGTACACATACTTTGAGGTTGCGTTATATTCGTTTATCTCTAGTTACTTTATTGTGATACCTCAGTCATGTCACAAATAACATCAGTGATATTCTGAATCTGGTTACATACTTTTGAGGTTGCGTTATATTCGTTATCTCTAGTTACTTTATTGTGATACCTCAGTCGTGTCACAAATAACATCAGTGATATTCTGAATCTGGTTACATACTTTTGAGGTTGCGTTATATTCGTCATCTCTAGTTACTTTATTGTGATACCTCAGTCATGTCACAAATAACATCATCTCGGTGATATTCTGAATCTGGTTACATACTTTTTTGAGGTTGCAGTTATATTCGTTACATCATCTTTATAGTTACTTTATTGTGATACCTCAGTCATGTCACAAATAACATCAGTGATATTCTGAATCTGGTTACATACTTTTGAGGTTGCGTTATATTCGTCATCTCTAGTTACTTATTGTGATACCTCAGTCATGTCACAAATAACATCAGTGATATTCTGAATCTGGTTACCATACTTTTGAGGTTGCGTTATATCGTTATCTCTAGTTAATTGTATACCCCAGTCAGTCACAAATAACATCAGTGAAATTCTGAATCTGGTTACATACTTTTGAGGTTGCGTTATATTCGTTATCTCTAGTTACTTTATTGTGATACCTCAGTCATGGTCACAAATAACATCAGTGATATTCTGAATCTGGTTACATACTTTTGAGGTTGCTGTTATATTCGTTATCTCTAGTTACTTTATTGTGATACCTCAGTCATGTCACAAATAACATCAGTGATATTCTGAATCTGGTTACATACTTTTGAGGTTGCGTTATATTCGTTATCTCTAGTTACTTTATTGTGATACCTCAGTCATGTCACAAATAACATCAGTGATATTCTGAATTTGGTTACATACTTTTGAGGTTGCGTTATATTCGTTATCTCTAGTTACTTTATTGTGATACCTCAGTCATGTCACAAATAACATCAGTGATATTCTGAATCTGGTACATACTTTTGAGGTTGCGTTATATTCGTTATCTCTAGTTACTTTATTGTGATACCTCAGTCATGTCACAAATAACATCAGTGATATTCTGAATTCTGGTTACATACTTTTGAGGTTGCGTTATATTCGTTATCCTCTAGTTACTTTATTGTGATACCTCAGTTCATGTGCACAAATACATTCAGTGATAATTCTGAATTTGGTTACATACTTTGAGGTTTTATATTCGTTATCTCTAGTTACTTTATTGTGATACCTCAGTCATGTCACAAATAACATCAGTGATATTCTGAATCTGGTTACATACTTTTGAGGTTGCGTTATATTCGTTATCTCTAGTTACTTTATTGTGATACCTCAGTCATGTCACAAATAACATCAGTGATATTCTGAATCTGGTTACATACTTTTGAGGTTGCGTTATATTCGTTATCTCTAGTTACTTTATTGTGATACCTCAGTCATGTCACAAATAACATCAGTGATATTCTGAATCTGGTTACATACTTTTTGAGGTTGCGTTATATTCGTTATCTCTAGTTACTTTATTGTGATACCTCAGTCATGTCACAAATAACATCAGTGATATTCTGAATCTGGTTACATACTTTTGAGGTTGCGTTATATTCGTTATCTCTAGTTACTTTATTGTGATACCTCAGTCATGTCACAAATAAACATCAGTGATATTCTGAATCTGGTTACATACTTTTGAGGTTGCGTTATATTCGTTATCTCTAGTTACTTTATTGTGATACCTCAGTCATGTCACAAATAACATCAGTGATATTCTGAATCTGGTTACATACTTTTGAGGTTGCGTTATATTCGTTATCATCTAGTATACGTTTTTTACTTGTGATACCTCAGTCATGTCACAAATAACATCAGTGATATTCTGAATCTGGTTACATACTTTTTGAGGTTGTCGTTATATTCGTTATCTCTAGTTACTTTATTGTGATACTCAGTCATGTCACAAATAACATCAGTTATATTTTGAATCTGGTTACATACTTTTGAGGTTGCGTTATATTCGTTATCTCTAGTTACTTTATTGTGATACCTCAGTCATGTCACAAATAACATCAGTGATATTCTGAATCTGGTTACATACTTTTGAGGTTGCGTTATATTCTTCATCTCTAGTTACTTTATTGTGATACCTCAGTCATGTCACAAATAACATCAGTGATATTCTGAATCTGGTTACATACTTTTGAGGTTGCGTTATATTCATTATCTCTAGTTACTTTATTGCCTGGTTCTAGTGTCTGTAACTGCTGCCTGGCTTCTAGTGCTGTCTGGTACTAACAGCTTAATCGTCGACTCTAACATCTCAGTAGTGTTTCTGTCTGATGTGTCTCTGTTAACCCCGGATCCATGTATCTTGTCTATTGTCTCTGTAGTTCGATGTCTCGTTCATGTCTCCTCTTTTGTAACTGTTTTTGAGGCTCCATGTGACTGGTTCCTCTGCTTCTAAGTCTTGAGGACTAAAGGTTCTCGTCTATAAGGGTCTGTGTGACTAGGCTCTCTCTCTTTGATGTTTCATGTCAACGAATATATATCAGATGCTATTTATATAACTAGGTTATTCATTTACAAATTTCTCTCTGCTAATAAACAACTGATGGTTCTAAAAAGGGAATGTCAAAGTTACTCAAACTTGTTGATTTTCCAATCCATTCAACTAATAGATAGTTGATGACGTCTCCCTGTTACATACAGCCTGCGAACATGAAGTAGTAAAAGTTTAAACTAGCACTGTATATTCTGTGTTGACTTGCAGCTTCATCCCCGTGAAGATGCCATCAGACCCAACCCAAACTTCGGTGTGTTACTGATTGAATTCTTCGAGCTCTACGGCAGAAACTTCAACTATTTAAAAACTGCAATTCGGATCAAGAATGATGGAGCTTACTTGCCGAAGGAGGAAGTTTCCAAGGAGATGGAAAATGGCTACAGACCTTCTCTTCTGTGCATCGAAGACCCTCTTAAAGCAGGTACAGAAATGAATGTTTTGTTTGTCCTCATCTTTCTATAAAAGTCAGGAATGGACCTTTTCACACCACTGGCTTATAGAACGTATGATGCTAAAACACTTTCTTTATAGACCTTTTTGTAAGTTAAGAGCCATTCAATACCATTGCTGAATCTGACATGATGGCAGATCCATTTCTTTATAGATCATTTTGTAAGTCTTCTAGTCTTGTCATGCTCTGTCTTTCAGCCTTTGATTGCATGCCTTGGTATAAATACAATTATTTGGGTAATCTATTTTTTCTCTTCTGGTGTGGATCAGATAATGTTGAATGTTTTTAATCTTATCCGGGTAATCATTTTTCGCTTTTTTAGTTAACTGCTTCCTAGAATGCTGTTTTTAATAATTCGTATGTGAAACCTCATCTCGTCTGCACTTAATTTTTTACTCATTGCTGATTAACTTTCATGTTGTCTACAAGATTAGTTTTATATCATTATCGTATGCCTTGCCAAGCATAAGCAGTCATATGTCCCCATCCTACACGAGCTGGATCAAGTCAGTGCTCTTGTCTCATCTCAATCCATATCACCAAGCCTTCCAGGCAGTTATCTCTTTGCTTTCCCCTTGATCTTTTCCCATTAATATTACCAGTCACCACCTGGGTCTGGAGTTCATTCCTTCTCATAATATGTCTCAAAAATGTTGACTGTATATATCTAACTTGTCTAATCAGTTTACGGTTTTGACTATATAGCTAAAAAAAAAAAAAAAAAAACACTCTCACTACAATTGACTGATTATTATGTCAGCTTCATTCATTGTTTTTAATCTTTGCAGGCAATGATATTGGGCGGAGCTCTTACGGATTCATGTCAGTGAAAAATGCTTTTGAGTATGCCTACCTGGTTTTGAACCATGCAGTCTCTCCCAGCAATTTGCACATTATCCGAGACGATCAGAGGTATGGTTTGGTGTATTTTAGGTGTATGTATTATAACAAAATTATTATAGTAGAAAAATCAGCCATTGTGCATAGAAAACCAACATGTAAAACAAGTAAAAACAAGCAAATTATTATGGGACATAGTATCACCCATTGTAAGAATGGTAGCAGAGATAGTTTTTAGACGTAATAAGTAAATCAAATAATTGAACAGATGTCACAAGTATTGCATAACAAATATGTAACAGCTGACACTAAGAGAGCACTGTGTTGAGTACTTTTTTTTTTTTTTACCAACATTGTGTTACCAGTGCTAAACATGAACATTAACAGCAATAGGAGGGGGCTGCAGGGTCTTGAGGCATGGTATCCGCCTCTAGTGCTAGTAGTTCTGTGTTCAATCCCCGGTAAGGGTTGGGATTTTTTCACGTGGACTGGGACTTCTAGTAATTCCCCTGGTGTCTGGGTAGTAAGATTGGACGCCCGTGTGCATTGTCGGGAACTTAAAAAAAATCCCTTGGCTGTCGGAATCAAAAAGAGTAGCTTAGCGACGCTGCCACAGCAAAATTTGGAGTTGGAGGAAATCTACCTAAAGTATTTCAGGATCCTTGCTGGTACTACAGAGCCTGTGCACTGTGATGAGCTTCTTCGGACTCAGACTTGAAGAAGAACGGAGCACTTATGGGTTGCTACCAGTGTGCCATGATGTTGATCCATTGTTCAAATCTCAAACCTGACAGAAAATTAAAACAACAAAAATGAAACATCTGCAGCAAATCTTCAGTGTAACAAGAAGAGGGACAGGCTCATGAACGACAGTATCAAGAAAGAAGCAAGGACTGAATCAAAGCTAGACTACATCAAGAGGCTACACATTCAAATGGTTCAGACATGTGTCAACGCTGCCACAGTACAGAGCATCACAGAGAGCCCTGTCACTGCCTACAGCAAAAGCAGCTCTTGAAGGCACACATACAAGCGATGGACAGAGAGAAATATCTGAGGCTTTGAATACCAGCATTTACATTGTGCACACCAAGGCTCACACTAGATGCCTCATCCTAACCAGTTGTCTCATCCAAACCAGTTGTTGAAAGATAAAACAGATATATATATAATTTTGTGAGCATGCATCTTCCCTGTGGCTACATACGGATGTGAGTCGTGGACTATCTCTCAGTCCTTAAGAAAGAGAATAGGGGCTTTTGAGCTGAAATGCTAAAGAAAGATTCTCAGAATATCTTGGACAAAGAAGATGGGAAATATTGACATCTTAAAAGATCTAAACATCAAGGAGGATTGGCTAATAAACAGCATCCTTTCTCGAAAGCTGAAATATTTTGGTCATATCAAGCGCCACAGCGGATTGGAAAAAATTATAGCAGAAGGCATGGTACCAGGAAGGAGAGGCAGGGGCCGACCGACATGAAGATTGGTACAGGATATAAGTGACTCCTTGAGTGTGAAAGTTCATGAGGCGGGAGAACTGGCAAGAGACCGAGTTTCTTACAGGCAGACTGTGATGAGAGTGACGTTCTACAAAGGACCTGCTACATGATGATGATGATGATATATATATATATATTGCACATTAATAAACTTGAATTGAGTGTTATATCTTTTGTCTTCACAGCATTCTAGGGAGAATCATTCGTGTAACTGACGAAGTGGTTGCCTATCGCCAGTGGATCAAGGATATTTCCATTACGACAGCAAGACTCAGAAGTGAAGACACTCTTGTGGAAGCCAAAAGGCCCTTCTTGTTGCCCAAGCCACCACTAGCGTTATCACGTTCACCTGTACCAGTTGCTGCCTCCAGTGACGCTACACAGCAGAGTACATCCTATGCTGCTGTTGCTTCAGTCAAGGATGTTGCAGCCAGGTGAGAACATTGTGTTTGTCTCCAGGTATTAAAGTTTCTGTTGTCTCAAGGTACAGAACTATCTGTTACCTCTGGTTATAGAACTTTGTATTGTCTATTATTTTTGGGGGTAATCTCTGGCATACTTTGTTACTAATATCACTCACACTCACAACTGACACCAGGAACAGCATAACTAAGTCATGTCTAAGTAACAGGTTTAAGGAGCACATAACACATGTCCGCACAGGTTTCAACCTAACTACAAGAGCTGTAATATACTTCTAAAAATCATCTTTGCTAGTGCTTTCAGTCTTGGTACACATGCTGACAGTCTCAAAAGTGGCACCTGGCCACAACTTGATGAGAGTCGATAACAAGTGCCCATTCCAGGGGTTACTTAAAGTCTATAATTGATGCATTTGACTATGTGCTGACTCTTGAAATCACCTAAAGCCTTCTTAGATACCAAATGTCAATGTGTATTCTGATGTTTCTATGCGACTAGTGAAGCCACTCACCATTTAATTTTAGAAGTCTAAGATAATTCATTGATTGATGTCCGTTGAAACATAGTATTGCAATTGCTATCTAGGTTTCTCTCTTGCTGCAGTTTGTATACATTTGGGTAGAGATGAAAGAAAAATGCTGTATTAAATTTCAGAATTATTTCAATTATAGCTGGTAACAGATCAGTGATTTCATTGTTGAACATGAAGTTGATGGGTTTGTTGAAATATTTTGTTTACAGAGGTGCTTCCGTCAGTGGGCTCGGAAGCCAGCACACACTGACGATACAGGAAGGCAACATGGAGAGTGAGGCCAGCGATTCCTGTGGCAACAGCTCTGGCTACAAGTCATCGGCCAGTTCTGGGGCCAGCTCTGATGGAATCGATTCTGTAAGTACCAGCAACACATTAGCTGTGTACAAGTTTCTGTTCATAGGAAAAATTAATATACTACCAACACCATTACAAGTATAACTAGACATGCATATGCGTATACTACCAACACCATTACAAGTATAACTAGACATGCATATGCGTATACTACCAACACCATTACAAGTATAACTAGACGTGCATATGCGTATGTGCTCTTTAGCAATGGAGCACACAAACCACCACATGTTTTTAAAACAGCCTGTAGGTAATGTATTGTTCCTGCTGTAGTTTTCCAACACTCGTCGTCGTATTCTTAAAATGTTGCTCTTTTCTTCTTCTTTGTGTTCACTGGCTGTAAACTCTGGCAGAAAGTCCTGGTTGTTCATCCACTCCTGGACTTTGGTCTTGATTCAGAACTTGAGCTTTGTGTGCTGATATAGACAACTTATTTCAGGCGAACAAAAGAAGACGACATTTTGTGTGCATTTTACAGATCTGACTTATTTTTATGCAGACTGCTGGTTCCTAGCCTTTCAGGCAGATCCACTCCAAGTTGCTGTGGTACAGTCTGAGTCTCATTTTTATGTCAAGTCCCTTTCTCTTCCATATATTGTCGTGCATGACACATGCTTGGTTTGATTTGTTTGTTCTTGATGTTACATCCTTGTCAGAATCCCCACCTAGAGTCACTTTACTTCCTAACTATCTGCATTTTACTTCATCATTTAAGATAATTGGAGTTTCTGTTTTTTAAATATTTTCTATTACTTTAGTTTGACTAGTATTTATCTTGAGTCCTAAGGGCTTTAATCAAAGGTCTTTCAATCTTTTCCTAAGTATCCACATAGCATGCTAAGTACAAAACTGTTATTGTTTGCACAGTCAACATCCTCTAAAACAGAGATAAGGGACCATGTTGCACAGCATCCTCTAAAACAGAGATAAGGGACCATGTTGCACAGTCAACATCCTCTAAAACAGTGCACAGTCAACATCCTCTAAAACAGAGATAAGGGACCATGTTGCACAGTCAACATCATCTAAAACAGTGCACAGTCAACATCCTCTAAAACAGAGATAAGGGACCATGTTGCACAGTCACAGTCCATGTTGCACAGTCAACATCCTCTAAAACAGAGATAAGGGACCATGTTGCACAGTCAACATCATCTAAAACAGTGCACAGTCAACATCCTCTAAAACAGAGATAAGGGACCATGTTGCACAGTCAACATCCTCTAAAACAGAGATAAGGGACCATGTTGCACAGTCAACATCCTCTAAAACAGAGATAAGGGACCATGTTGCACAGTCAACATCCTCTAAAACAGAGATAAGAGACACCTCTGTAACTTCTTATGTCAGCCAGAGAGCGGCTGTGTTGCATAAAAACTTTCTGTTGTATGATTATCACAGACGACCTTGCATTGAAACTCTACATCAATTGCTTTGCTGTTTCTGCTGTAAATTTACTGTTTTCTGTAAGTAAAGTAAAAGTTAAGATCCCTTTTCACGCCTTTCGGCGCATCGGGCATATGGGCAGAGCATCCCATATTTTTACAGACCATCAGCACTCTGTGGGTAATGTGGTCAGCATTACGCCGGCTGTCTTTGCTTTTCCAGGACAGCCCATCCTGGTACCCATTTTAGGCTGGGTCGACCTGCGACGTCCCATACCACGACAAAAATCCACGCAGCCTGCAGTGGGTTTCGATCGCAGTATGCTGGCTCACGAGTCGGACTTGCAACGCCTTAGCCACGGACGCCTGCACTGTTTTCTGTGGTGTGCCATAAATCTTTTAGATCAGTTCTCAGCCTGCGGGTCGCGACCGTTTTTGGGGTTGAATGACGTTTTCACATGGGTCGCCTAGACCATAGGAAAACACATATTTATTGAAGTTATCATCATCATCAGTTCTCATTATGCCTAGAGGCACATGAGGCTTCAGAAAGGACTTTCCATGCTTTCCTGTCCTGTGCAATCTACAGTGCAGTTTTCCATATCAGAGATGCCACACTCAAGTCACTTTCCATCGTTCGTCTCCATGTTATTTTTTGTCATTTTTTTTTTTTTTCTCTTTCCCTCTGGTATCCATGTGAGAGCTGTTTGGCAGGTATATCAGGATTCATTCTCATAATGTGGCCAAGCCATTTCCATCTTCTCTTGGTTATCATACTGTCTAGAGTTTCTTGGTTTGTAACTTGAAGTAGTTTAGTGTTTGAGATTGAATCTTGAAGAAAAATTATTGTGGGTCGCCACAACATGAGGGAACTTTATTAAAGAGTCACGGCAATAAGAAGGTTGAGAGCCACTGCTAAAGATGGATGTATATCTGTGACTGACAGGACATTGCGGAACCAACCACAGCCTTTTTTGTGTTTTGTGTGTGTGTGGTTTGTTTGTGGTTATGCTAGGCAGTTTTTTTTTTCCCAGTACTTTGCCACTGCTTTCCGAATGGCTGCTGTCAAAATTTCCGCAGTTGGACTGAAACCAATTATCTTGGAATTACAAAACAAATTCGCAAAACCAACAGATTCCCATGCAGACTATCAAAAGCCCTTTAAAAATCTGTATAAAGACCCTATAAATTGTTGCATTGTTCAGTTGTTTTATGCAGCAACTTCTGATACCTGGTAGTGTTTCACGGGGGAATGTTTGATTGAAAGGATCAGATGTGTGGGATGGTACTAAAATGGTTATATGAGGTGGTACTGAAAAAGAGTTGTGTTGTGTGGTACTGAAAGGGCTATGTAGGTTAGTACTGAAAGGGGTATGTGGGTTAGTACTGAAAGGGGTATGTGGTTTAGTACTGAAAGGGGTGTGCGGGTTGGTACTGAAAGGGGTGTGTGGGTTGGTACTGAAAGGGGTGTGTGGGTTGGTACTGAAAGTGGTGTGTGGGTCGGTGGCTCACAAAACAAGCCCATTTTCTAACCTGCACAGTTTGTGGTAACTGCAGTAGCCATAATTTTGTGTTTTGTAGGATTTTTAGTCAGCCTACTTCTGTTTGTGTCTCTCCCTTCCTCTCTGTCAGTCTGTGTCATGCACTGGCACACTCACACAAGTAATGTACAATACCTAATGGTTTTTGGGCTCCCTTGAGGACCTGTACTTCATCTGAAGATAAAGGACATCCCCCCCCCCCCCCCCCCCCCTCCCATCCACTCCCAGAAATATGAAGAAATATAGTTTGTGTAATGCTGACCTCTGCCTATTGTTTTCTGTTTGTTTTTAGTTTTTACAACTGTATCCTAATTCAACCCATTTCTGTTCTGTTTTTAGGACAGTGAGTTTCCTGTCAGAAAACAGTGACCCGCATGGTGTGCTTCGATCAGCAGAACAAATTAGCGATTCTTCTGTCGTTAAAAGTGGCAGGATTCCGTCATCTGGTGGGCGACCGTCCCCATCACCCGGCCACTATAATGGAGGCCACACATCAAACAGAGGCTTTGCGAGAAGCCGAGAGACCACACGGCCGGCAGCAACAGCAGCAGCCCTTGGAGCAGGTTTCGCCGGAAACAAACCGCCCAGAGATGCCAGCAATAGTAGTGTGTCATCAAACCGTTCATACAGTGGAGTTTATTCAGGCCGTTCTTACGGCGGACACAACAGTGGGTCAGGAGCCAACAGTGGTACAGTTTTCTATGTATCAAATCGTTACTCTGCCAATTCCGGCATGGGTGGATATGGTGGAGCTCCTTCTCACGAAGGCACGCCCTTGTACTTCCCGGCTCACGGCCAGTATCAGCAGTATCATCCCCATGTAGTTTCTTCCCAGTCCGGACCAGTCAGAGACACCAGAGATCGATACCAACCTACCTATAGCAATGGGGTGGCATCTCACGGGGGGCCACCGCACCTAGCCCACCAACGCCCCCCACCTTTCTCAGGGACACATAATAACATGAACAGTCCCAGGTCTAGTAACAGCAAGGTTTATCGCAGCTCAGGGGCAAGTAAGCAGAAACGAAAAAATGGCAGGCGAGATAACTCTCAGAACAGAGGCAGCAGTGGCTCTAGGTAATTGGCATGTCAGCTCTGTGAAAGCAGAGCTTAGAAATGTGAGTGCACAATGGAAGCTCTGTGTTAGCTCCTGCAGTTCCTATGTACAGAGCTCACACACAGCTTCTCCTTTGTATTCGGCAAGACCAGCAACATCTCAGAAGCCATCTTTCTGTTGATACAACGTCCATCAGTTCATTTACAGACTGAAATTACGGTTATGTTTTATCACCATCAAAGTTACGTATTTTAAATAATGTTTTGTGTCATCGTATAACTGCTGCTGTGAGGAGAATAACAGGTCAAATAGGGCCCAGTCTTGGCAAAGCTGGATAGACAAGCTGAGGATTCGGGCAGAGTTTTAGCTAGCTGTGTTTCTTTGAAACATAAATTGTTAATGAATAAATCACCTATTTGCATGCTAAGTGACTTTTTCTTTGACGGCTACCATGTTTCTCCGAAAATGAGCCCAAAATTAAGCCCACAAAGGATTTTTTAGGATGCTCGTAATATAACCCCTTGTTAAGATAATCAGTAAGACGGGTAGATTTTGTTTAAACACGACAGACATTTAATTGAATTATATGAATAATGAATGTATTAAACACATATATAAATAAATATTACTATTGATTATAAATGCTTGAATAAATGCATATTTTTGTTCTTGAATAATTGAAGTTGTTTGAACATGAGGAAATCAGATATCCCCTGAAAAGAGCCCTTAGACGTCTTTTGTAACAAAATTAAATATAAGACTCAGTCTTCTTTTCGGGGAACACAGTACAGCTTCTTTTACAACTACTTTTAACCTTTTTTAAGAGTACTCGTTTTTACTTCTTCCCATTCTGTCTGCGACTTCTTCGCTGCTTCTACTGGTTCATCTTTGCAAGCCTGTTTCTATAATATATCATTTGTCAGCCGTCTGCCTTTTCTCCCTACTGTGTGACAGTTTTTCTACACATGTGGAATTTCTTTCTCGGAAAGTTCTTTACTGTCTTGTGTACCGCTTGTTGGTGTAGGGCATAGAGGTCATGAGCCTGAGGGTTCAAGGCCACTCGGGGGGAGTGCTCTCCCCATGAACTGTGCAGGTTATGATTATTACTTTCCCTGACAGGAAAGAATGTCCATCCCTTACCGAGGATCGAACCTGGGTCACCTGTATGAGAGCCCAGTGTTCCTGCTGTTCGTCCAGCGGTTTCTCTGCTGGTGGGATATCAGAGCAACCTAACCTACCCACATAGAACAGCAGCTGCTGTGTTAACAACAGGGTACCCAGATATAACTGTGTTCCTGAGGTGTAGCCGCTAGACGCTTACCTGTGAATCAGAAGGTCGGGGGTTCACCAGACTTGTTTCAGAATTGAACTTGGCTCCTAAGTCGACCCAGCTTTGAGTGGGTTCCAGGTGCAGTCCTGGGAAGTAAAGGTGGCTGGCGTTATGCTGACCACACCACCCACCAAGTGCCGATTGGCATATCAAATATGGGTCTGTCCCACAGTGTCCAATACGCCTGAAGGCATAGAAAAAAGTCCTTTATAGGTGTAACTGTTCTGTACAGTTTATTGGAGTTTCTGGGATTGGCTCCTGCTGGATTCACATCCGAAATGTGGGTCTTTGGGTCTCTAGGTTTGTCAATGTTTCATGGTGCAGGCGAGGGGGGGAAACACTTTGCACCTACTGCAGGGCTGTTCAACTAAGTTTACTGGGGGGGGGGGGGGCAAAATTGCCAGAGACTTGAACCCTAGTATAGAGAGATCATTAATACAGTACAGCTGGTTCCCCGGGCAGATTCCGGGGTCCCATTGTGGGGGAAAAACAAGAATACTGCCTCCCCAACAAGCATGGGAGCTTCTTTCAAAGTCTGAGTGCATGCCCAAGAGGCGAGGAACCAACAGTCTGCATACAGAAAAGCAAGATTTGTAAAACGGTTGCACACGCAAAACTCAGGTCCTGGAACAAAGCCAAAGTCCAGAAATGGACAAACAACCTGGTCTTTCCGCTAGGGTTTACAGCTGGTGAACGCAAACAACAGTGCCACTGGCAGCACTCTGTGGGCCCCCAGTTTAAACGCCATGGTCTGTTATTTTTCTCATTTATGGAGGTTTTACCGTTGTGTGGTTTCTCCCATATACAGTGGTTTCCTTCATGTATAGAGGTTCTCCTCAAGTGTGGAAGTTGCTCTGTTTTATGGGGTTTTCTCTCATGTATGAAGGTTTTCTATTATAGTGATGTTATAAACTTAGTATTTATTACTCTCTGTTCTTTGAAATGTTCTCTGATGCTTTCATATTTTGTGCTGTTTGTTGTCCTCTGTGTAATAACAGTGTAATCTGTACATGTTTTTTCTTGTTGGCAGGACTGTCTTCAGCCAGACATGTCTTATTTCAGTCAAGGAATGGGAAACTGTTTTTGTTTGTTTAGCGTGTATAGAATATTTATTGCATGCAGTTGACAGCCGGTGTTGTTATGCAGAGAACATTATGTGCATTGTCAATCTTCTGCCCAGCCAAAGTTTGTGGGTTTGGTAGGGAATTCGGGGAGAAGGGGGAGGATTTACCTTGATTCCCAGCTGAGCCCTGCTTAAAAATGGTGGGAAATTTTCCAGTGACATGAAGGCAGCCAGTGGGATTTTGGTGACGAAGAGAGCTGGTCAAGTCACGAAAATCTGGGTTTAACATGCCTCATGTGTATAAAGGGGATTTCAAATAAAAACCTGAAAAGTTATAGAAATTACGGTACCTATTTGTAACCTGTCTGTATCGTTGTTAAGGATGTCAAGCACGTGATGTCATGGTGCAGACGACAAGGCTAGTGTTACTGTAATTTCTATCACGCTGTTAAGGTTTTAATTTGAACCTCCTCGTATGATCCTCCTCTGGCTAGAAAAGGGTAAAGTTCATCTTTCCGTTTCCCATTGTTGATCTAAAACTCTAAGACTGCAAGTGACTGATGTTTGTTGGGCGTTGTTTTACTGAACTGTGTGATCACACATTGTTTTACTGAACTGTGTGATTGATGACTGTTTTCATCATCATCATCTGTGCTGAATTGTTTCAACCAAATACTTTCAGGTCAGTGCATCGGTGTAAATACAATTTGTCAGACTCATTTTGTACATACAATTGTTATGTACATAAAAGTTATGTGCGTGTTTGTGTGTGTGTGTGGGGGGGGGGGGAAAGAAGGAAGCCATTTGATTGACATCTTCCTCGTATTGTTGTCCAGCATATTTCACGGCTTCTCATCAGCTGTACAAAAAAAAAAGGCAGTGAATTGTGCCAGACATTATTTTTGTGTTCACTATTTAAATTCACAGTAAAATAGTCATATTTCTTAAGACAATAATTAATGCAGATCATCATCATCATCATTCAGTCTGTGGAGTTTTGGATATATAGAAGAATAGGTCACATTTCATAGACATAGTAAAAAAAAATCAAAATACAGAGCAAATATGTTGTGTAGAGACAGAGAATAAAAAGAGAGTTGCTGAAAGAAGAAACAATTGAAACGTGAAATATTTCGGTTTTATCAAAAGACATAACATCGAAAGAGCTAACAGTTTTATGAAAAGAATACAATAGGGAAAAGAAAAAGATAAATGAGCGAGAGGCAGATGACGATGTATCAAGAACATCTAGAAACAGATGAACAGTCATGTGAGAGAGTGTTACATCCAGGACGACAGACAAAGAGTTAGATATTTATTGCAGGCATTCATTGTGGAGGCAGCACCTGATTCATTGAGTAACCACTAAAATAACTTGTCATAAAAGGAAGTCTTGTCCCTATTAGGTAGTATTAAAGGAAATGAAAGAACTCCTGAAAGTTGAAATTTTATAACTGTTTACTGTCAGTATTTACCGTGTGGGGGAGGCGGGTGTCTAGAGCCTAAGGTTTAGGGTCTTGTGGCTAGTGCATTTGTCACAAGCCATCAGGTTATGATGTTTATTTGTACGCTGACAGAATAAATGTCCGCCACTTAAACGAGATTTTGAACACAGATTTCCCGCTTGAGAGAGCATTATTTGTCACCTGTCCAGCCCCTCTTTGGAGGTTTGTTAACAAATCTAAAGAGATTAGATGTCATATAAACTTAAAATATCTAAAGATATTAGGCTTAATATTTTACTTCTTCGTGTTCTATTTTCTTCATGGAACATGGGGGTGAGCTGTAAGAATCTTCTTCTCCATTCTCTTCATCTAACACGGGGGGTGAGCTGTAAGGATCTTCTTCTCCATTCTCTTCATCTAACATGGGGGTGAGCTGTAAGGATCTTCTTCTCCATTCTCTTCATGGAACATGGGGGTGAGCTGTAAGGATCTTCTTCTCCATTCTCTTCATGGAACATGGGGGGGGGGGGGGGTGAGCTGTAAGGATCTTCTTCTCCATTCTCTTCATGGAACATGGGGGGTGAGCTGTAAGAATCTTCTTCTCCATTCTCTTCATGGAACATGGGGGGTGAGCTGTAAGAATCTTGTTCTCCATTCTCTTCATGGAACATGGGGGGTGAGCTGTAAGAATCTTCTTCTCCATTCTCTTCATGGAACATGGGGGGTGAGCTGTAAGAATCTTCTTCTCCATTCTCTTCATCTAACATGGGGGTGAGCTGTAAGAATCTTCTTCTCCATTCTCTTCATGGAACATGGGGGTGAGCTGTAAGAATCTTGTTCTCCATTCTCTTCATGGAACATGGGGGTGAGCTGTAAGAATCTTCTTCTCCATTCTCTTCGTGGAACATGGGGGGTGAGCTGTAAGAATCTTCTTCTCCATTCTCTTCATGGAACATGGGGGGTGAGCTGTAAGAATCTTCTTCTCCATTCTCTTCATGGAACATGGGGGGTGAGCTGTAAGAATCTTGTTCTCCATTCTCTTCGTGGAACATGGGGGGGGGGGGGGGGGGGGGGAAAGCTGTAAGAATCTTCTTCTCCATTCTCTTCATGGAACATGGGGGGTGAGCTGTAAGAATCTTCTTCTCCATTCTCTTCATGGAACATGGGGGGTGAGCTGTAAGAATCT